CTGTTGAGTCTTTTCACCAGCTTGAAGGCATTGACCGGGTGCCCCAGGAATCCCTCAGGGTCCTGCGTGGCTGTGTTTGTCAGTGAGTCCAGTTTGTCTGCCCATCTGATGCAGGAAACGAAGCACAATATTCACCAGCTGTTTAGTTATTTGTCAATCTCAACTCCCCAAGCAGGCAGACATGTTGAACATGTGAACATTTACTCACTCTTTGACCTGCTCTAGTCTGTTCTCCTCCTGTCTGATGTATTCTTTCAGTGATGTCACCAGGTCCTTCTCTGTGTACAGTAGGTCTGTCATCTGACCTACAAATCAAAAAGTGAAACTTCACAAATCTGAAACACCTCAGACTTCCTCTAATCTACTAAACAAAGGTTGTCAGAAGACTAAATACTGTACTGTACAAAGCTGCAATGACAAATTTAACCCTGTCAGATGTTCTGAAATTTGCTGGATATATATCTTGCAAAAAAAACAAAAACAATAGCTGCTACTTTTGAATGACCCTTGAGTCACAAGCACTTCCTGCAAGTTTCATATGTTTGGCAGGATGTATAGCCTAAGGAATGGATACAGAAAAAAACTATGGAAGATCAACTCACCTATAGAAGTGAAGAAGTCATTGTGGGCGTACAGAGAATGGAAGAGGAAACTCAACAGGAACCAACACAAACCCATCCTGAAAGAAACAGAGACGGTCATACATCTAACACAATGCAATGCACAAGATCTTCCTGATGATGTCGTAAGAATTAATTTTTTCTGCCTTTTGAGGCGTTAACACAATCAGGTACTACAGCCAACTCTCAGAGCAAGGCAAATGCATTACTAAACCAACTAACACACTGAAAATGTGGTTTTGGTTGCAACAACCCCCAGTGCACACCCATTTGGATACACATGGCCACAGAGTGGTCACTGCTGGATCAGAATTTTGGCACAAAGGTGGAATCCAGAGGGCAAACAAAGAGGGCAAACATCCTGACAAATTTACTGACACACACTGAGAGATCCACACAAAGCTGTTACACACACACACAATCATAAGCATCCCTTGTATTATTAGTTACAACAGTTGCATCTTAAATGCATATCTGAGTTTAATATTTTGCAGATGTGACATGGTATGCGAAAAGCATCTGACACATGACATGAGATATGCAAAAGTAATGCCCTTAAGGGCCAAAAATCAAAAACTCACAGGACCTGCTCTGCTGTGCTTGCTCATGTGCTCCGCAGGAGGAACCCTTCTGAACGAGCAGGCATCTTGTATGAACTACTCTTAATGCCACATGTCAGAATAAGATGAATGGTATAAGGTCATCATGAAGGATACAATGTAACACGTGAACATGCAAGCCTCAACATAGAGAACTGGCTTTATCATAAAGATCGACATTAAAATCTTAAATAAAATAACTGACTTTCAAAGTTAACAACTAGCATTAGAAAATCGTCAACTTTTTATCCTTCAAAGACATCAAGGGAAATCAAGTCAGAATTACTTCCAAGAAAAATCTCCTCTAAACCTGCATAAACCTAAATGTAATATATATATATATATATATATATATATCTTAAACCTAATCTAAAGAAAAATCTTGATTTTAAATTCTGTATTGCCGTTAGCTAGCCACTTTTCTGATTTCAAAATTCTATTAATTTCTTAAGGATATTGTTGATAATAAATTCTTTATTTGTTTCTGTGTCCCTTAATATCACTATCCTGTTAATCTTTTGTAATGTTCTTTTAACGAAAAGCCAGGTTGAAATGACATCACAAATGTCATCAGTGCATTTAATAAACTGTCATGATATCAAAACAATATCAAAATGAGTTGACACTGTCAGTCCTCAAGCAATGGCTAACTTTAGTTTTTCATTACCATCTTTTTAGACACCCTGTTACAGTTTTGCCCATATTTGTCTAGCATCCACTTATAGAAATATTTACTTGGGTTACAACAGTGGTATATTAATTTCTTACAAATTACATACAGCAGTTGAAAAGGTCCTGTATAATTACAGGAAAAGACCCTAGTGGAGTGCGTGAGCTCGTGAGGGTCCAGCATGGATGCCGCCCGCAGTTCATTGGGTGCAGAGCCACGGAACTGCCACGTCTTCGCCCCGCCCCCTCCAAAATTCGAGATGACTTATAACCGGACTGCAAACTCTTCTATAAGTTCACAGATAACAGATGCCAAAGGAAAAGATATGACAATCTTTGTAGCAGGACAAATGAGACTCCATCGTTTTTACTAAACACGGAATACTCTACTCACTGCATCAGTCAATCAATGAAACACGCGCAGAGAAACAGTGTAACAACATTTTTGCAACATTAGGCTATTTCTCAAAATATAATGCTGCAAATAATGTAAAGTTCGTTTGCCTTATCCAAATTCGCTTTAGACCACGTATTCTTCATAACAACAAAAATAAAAACTTGAAAAGTTTATCATAGGCTATATGAAAAATTAGATCCTAAGTCTGACATCTCGCTTAATGAGCTTGAAACTTCTTTTTTCCTAAAGATTGACTCATTGAACACACTTGATTTATCATTGTGACTATATTATTGTGTACAGTAAAGAATGAGTGCAAGATAAACTCGTGCACGTGCACCACATTTTCTCAACCAAAAGGGTTTCTCAACTCTTTCGGGTTTCAGAGTTTTTAATATCAAAGGAAGGAATTATTTTTGTATTGTTGGTATGATGTATCACATTACATTTGCTCTACCGATAAAAAAGGTCATTGCAATAATAAATATTTTAACAATGAACCAAAATTGGTTCATAGAGGTTGTATAAAGTAAATATCCTCGTACCTTTCAGGCCGTCACCGCGCAGAGAATCAGTGAATCGATCCAGATGTCGCTCTAGTGACGCTAATGAGGAGCTCAGCATGGATGGAGAACTCTTCTGTGTTTACGATGCTTCTGGTGTGAAGCTGGGTTTTATCCGAGAGGTTGCACCGTTCTTCTCCTCGCAATCTGGCGGCGGGGGGCTCCGCTGCGCTACGTGCAGAGTGTCACACACTCTCCCAAACTCATGGAACCAGGTGGAATTTAGAACTGCGCATGCGCATAGTACAGTTCCTAAATCTCATTCCATTGGGCTCATCCTTCTGATGTGGTACTTGATACATCATACAGCTGTGTGTGAATTTGTTCTACAGTGTTTGCATACATATTTAGCAGTTTATACTCACACTGTATCTAATAAAAACATCCAACATATAGTTTTTTTTTTGTATAATCCATTAGGCACCCTTCATTAAAGAAAAAGTTCACCCAAAAACAATATTATGGATAGAGAACTCAGCTTGTGGATTACTTACATTACTTGTGAATTATTGTGTTTTTATTTCTCATTCTGACAGCACCTATTCACTGCAGAGGATCAAGTAAGCATGTGATGCAATGCTTTCTCCAAATCTGTTTTGATGAAGAAATAAACTCATCTACATCTTGGATGGCCTAAAGGTGAGTACATTTTCAGAAAATTGCCATTTTTGGGTAAACTGTTAAACCATGCCTTAAAAACCATGCCATAATGTGTCAATCAAGGTTGAATTGAATGTTATCTTGTGTATTTCGTAGCTGTTGCATAATGAATATGCACTGAAAAGAGAAGTCTCTGTTGTTGTTGTTTTTTTTCTTCCTGATGGATTTTTTTTTTCTGTGCAAAAAAGAAGTGGAAGTTTCTTTCTCTCTCTGCACTCTAACACTCAAAATTCTCTGTTGCTTCCTCTCATTTTGATTTATAACTATATATTATAAGTATACTTATAATATATAGTTATAAATCAAAATGAGACCTTAAATGAATACTCCTGCTGGTTTCAATTCTGACTGCAACCTTTGCTTTCCAAATTAACACTGAGCTATAAAAGAGGCAAACGTTTGTCACATAGCCTGAAGAATGTTTGTATGTTTGTGAAACCAGCACAATAGAGACACAGTGGAACGCATTTGTGTTATAAAGACAGTTTATTGCACTCTGTGCATAACTGATGTAAAAATATTGAGCATTTCAAAAGAATTTAAAGAAAATATGCTCATTTACAAAATAAAAATAAACATTTTTTAGCATGTTTTAACATGTTTTAGCACAATCCTTTGAGAGTTGTCTTCAGTGTTTTTTATTAGTATTTTTTTTTTAAATCAATTATGATTTCTTGTAATACTCCTGTCATTGCAACGCTAGCCAAACATCTGACTCTACTACTAAAATGAATTTGGCACATTCCCGTAAGGCTAATTCCAAACTTTTTCTTCTTCCCAGTCCTCAGTGTAAATCATTAAGGGCAGAAAAAGGTCAAACACTTCAGTCTGCAGCTGTGTATGTTCTGTGCCGTTTGTATTTACACCAGTGATTCAAACTTGTTTTTTTACTGACTTTATTGCCTTTTTTGGTCAATAGATCTCTCTCCTATATTGGAAGAATCTCAAAAACAAAACATTTATATTATTACAAACTAAACCTAAACTAGACACAAATAATTTTTTTCACCTTTAATCCCTCAGGCCACCGCACATCCTAAAATAAAAATAAAAAGCAAAGACAAAATTTTTTTTTTAAATGTTGTAATTACCATTCACTGTTTTGTACCTGTTTAAACAGTAAAATCACATCAAAAACAATGACTTTTCTGATTTTTTCCCCCTTCATCCTACCTGAATGTTCATCTTGCTAGTTTTGAGCACATATGAAATATTAGAATGATATTTGTCTTTCTTTGGCTTATGATGTATTAAATGTATTCTCTAATATTTCCTAATACATTCTATTATTCTTTTTTGTGGATAAGGCCATCCACAAACTTCCATTTGTGTTAGATTAATGGATGTTTGTGTTTAAGTCATCATATGACAAACAAAGTTTTTCTTCAGTCTGTCAAATTCTTATTATTAACCAAGATCAACACAACCAACTCTATAAGTCTGTGAAGAGGATTCCTTCATTTCATGTCACTGTATTTTCCTTCAGTATTTCTCAGAGACGGATGTCATCCAGTGAGGTGAGCCGTTGACCAAACAGCAGTTCCTCGTAGTCAGAGAGCTGACGAAGAAACCCAGCATTCGGGGCAGCGCAAGCTCGTCTTTCCTTCAGCCAACGAAAAGCATGTAGCAAAGACCAACGGCGATGCTCCATCAGGAATCCCAACGTCAGCACCGAGCTACGACTCCGTCCAAGGCTGCAGTGCACCAACACCCGGCCGCCTGGTGCCCCCGGTGCCCCCTGCAAAGCCTCAGCGATGAACCGAGAAGCTTCTGGAAAGGCCTGCCGAAGATCCTGCTGTGCGTCATCACTAAGCCGTAGCCAAAGATAACGTAAAACACTCGGGAAGGCATCCGAGATTTCAGCTGTGGCATTGACCACATGTGTGATGTGGAGGTTTTTGATGATACGGTAGTCATGTGCCTGCGAGGCAGAGCCCTGGTATAGCGCCCCCTCCAGGATTTCAGAGGGATAGATGGTGAGGGAGCGACGCTCTGACTCCAGTAGGACCATGCGAGGGGTGCACAGAAAGGGATAGAGAGAGTGAAAAGCAGAATAGCCCCCCTGGAGGATTACAGGGTCCATTCCCAAAGCACTCAGCTGGAAGAAACAGTGCTGGAGAGTAGGAGAGTCAGCGCGTGCCTCCTGACTGCCAACTAGAGCACAAAGCCACATATACAGCCATATTTATACATTATTATTTTAATATATTTATAATAATATTTGTACTTTATTGTATTTTTATTACATTATTTTAATATTATACATTATTTTAATATATTATTTTCATTGTTTTACACAAAGTTATTATTATTATTATTATTAAAGTCTAATAAAACTGCCCAATTAACATAATAATAGGTAAATAATACATTTTATAAATCATAAGGTTATGTTATATATTTATCAATTAAAACAACAGTATTATTTATAAATATGATTTATAATCTTTTAAAAAATAACCATAACTTGTTTTTGTTAAATTATTATTATTATGCTCACAAAGTTACTTAGAGTTAGTAAAATGTCTATCATGTGCACTATCAAAACAAAGTGTTACCTATTAAACTTGTCATTTATTCAACATAATATAATTGTATTTATAAATAATACTTTTTATAATAATTTATAAAGGTATAATGTCACATACCGTATATAACACATTTAAACATAATAATAATAATATTAATATAGCTAAATAAAACATTTCAATAAATTATGAGGTTATGTTATACTTTAAGTATATTTATCAGTTAATATTAAGGTATTATTATGAATATAATGTATAACCTTTTAAATAATAACAATAACTTTTTTATATGTGACCCTGGACCACAAAACCAGTCATATGTAGCACAGGTATATTTGTAGCGATATCCAAAAACACATTGTATGGGTCAAAATTATCGATTTTTCTTTTATGCCAAAAATCATTAGGATATTAAGTAAAGATCACATTCCACGAAGATATTTTTGTAAATGTCCTACTGTAAATATATAAAAACCTAATTTTTGATTAGTAATATGCATTGCTTAGAACTTCATTTGACAACTTTAAAGGTGATTTTCTCAATATTTTGATTTTTTGCACCCTCAGATTCCAGATTTTCAAATAGTTGTATCTCGGCCAAATATCCTATCCTAACAAACCAAACATCAATGAAAAGCTTATTTATTTGGCTTTCAGATGATGTATAAATCTCAATTAAAAACAAAATTGACCCTTATGACTGGTTTTGTGGTCCAAGGTCACATATTATTATCAAACTTATTGGCATTTATTGAACATAATATAAAGTATATTCATTAATAATACATTTATGTTAATTTATAAATGTATAACATAATTTTTAAAATGTATGATTTAGCTATATTATTATTATTAATCATTTTAATTAGGTTTTATTTTATTTATATTATAAAAATGTTATACCTGGACTTTGGCCTTCTTCAGCGTATAGCAGTATTATAGAAAACTCCTGCAGCTGAACACAGCTTATCAAACAGCCCAGTTCTGGATGCATCACCGTCACACTGGCACGGGCTGTGACCAGGTGACTCTGCTTATATCTGCACATGTACACACACACACACACACACACACAAGTTAGTTACCATTAAATTTAAAAGCCAGAACCATTCATGATCCTTTCATTGAATGTACATATCTATATATACATATGTATGTATTTATGTGTATCACTGTTACCTCTCTGCAGAGCGGCAGTTATTTTATTTATATTATAAAAATGTTATACCTGGACTTTGGCCTTCTTCAGCGTATAGCAGTATTATAGAAAACTCCTGCAGCTGAACACAGCTTATCAAACAGCCCAGTTCTGGATGCATCACCGTCACACTGGCACGGGCTGTGACCAGGTGACTCTGCTTATATCTGCACATGTACACACACACACACACACACACACACAAGTTAGTTACCATTAAACTTAAAAGCCAGAACCATTCATGATCCTTTCATTGAATGTACATATCTATATATACATATGTATGTATTTATGTGTATCACTGTTACCTCTCTGCAGAGCGGCAGTCCAGTATCAGTATATAATAGGGATCATGCAGTGAAGGTTGGCCCGCTTCAGCATTCAGGAGGTTGTATACCTGCTGTGGGGTCACATAACCTCTTTCTATATTTGCTTTTTCTGGAAGTGCAGGAATCAAAAGCTCTTTCACACAAAAACACAAGGAAACACACACACACAAAGTTATTTTAACATTTATCACAGACAGTTTCTACAGCAAATTAATGTACAATTAAAAACGTAGTCATTTTATTTATTTATTTTTAGAAAATTATTTTTATTAATGATGTATTATATGAGCCCATGTTTGATATTTCAACCAGTCTTTTATTTTAAAAAATGTATCTCATTGATATACACACAAGCAGTGATTAATTTTGCAGCGTCTTTATTCTTTAGGTATGTTGACCTACCTTCAGTGTTGTTCTGAGAGGATTCAATGACGTTAATTTGAGAAAGTTTGACTGTTCCATTCATCTCCCTACAGGGGGCGCTGTTCTGAACCTGTAGAGAGCCCCGCGAGCCAGTGGAGCCAACCAAACGACATTTATCAGCTCTGCGAGGAGAGGGAGAAGGGGGGAGGGGAGAGAATTCTAGCAATTGATGTGTAAACACTATGGCAAGCCTTTTTAACATTTAATCTGTAAGCCGTACTAGTATCTATTTTCATGGTACTAGTATCTATTTTTTAGATACTAGTATCTTTTCCATTAAGTACTAGTACTTAATGGAAAAGATTAATAGAAAATAGATACTAGTACGGCTTATAGATTAAATGTTACAACGGCTTTCCATATAAACACTCTATATTCTAGCTAATGTAATCAGCAGTTACACACAGATCCTATCAACCACCAGAGGACAAGTGATGCACTTTAGAGGCACATCAGGTGAAGTATTGACATTTATTATTTTCACAATTCCTTGTCAACGTCTGTTATTTTGTGAACAAATAATACTATCAGAAAGAAAATAATAATTATGTTATCAGATGTACTCACCTGGACACCACAATGCCCATGGTTTTGGATGGGAGTCATTCGGGACCGAAGCTCTCTCTCTCTCTCTCTCTCTCTCTTCTATGGGCCAAAAGGTAAGAGAGAGAATGCAACCATCCTGATACACACACTCAAACCAACACCATGCAAAATACACACTGCCTACAGCATTCCTCTGCTCCAATACATCCAAAATCTACCAAAAGAACTGGAATGTACGTAGAATTTTACATCCTTGTGGTTGTTAAATCGTTCTCCGCATGTCACTGTGTAAAAAACAACTGCTTTTTTTGTTTTTTCCCTTCCATTCTATTCTTTCCCTCCCTCTTTGTCAGGTCCTTATTTTAGTGGGTTGCCGGGGTAATGCGGGACTGTGAAGTGCTCTACATGAGCAGGGGGTGAGCTGGCCATGACAGGTCAGAGTGTCACACACAGACACTTCTGAATGAAAGTCAAATAACAAAATGCATATATATTTTTTATATAATACAAATAGTTTATTTATCATGCACCCTAATCAAATCCAGCCTGTATACTGCTATTTTTTATGGGGAATATATTCTTTAATACACTACCGGAATACACTATTGGAATAATTATGATTTTTTTTTTTTTTATATATTTTTAATTTTTAAGTATATTTTTTAATAATTATGAAGTTTTCATCCCCAAGGCTGCATTTATTTGATCAAAAATGTAGTGAAAACAGTAAAATTTTAGAATATTATAACAATTTGTTTTCTATTTTAATATATTTTAAAATATTAATTAAAAGATAAAATGCAATTCCTGTGATGGCAAAGCTGAATTTAAGCAGCAGAAAACCATTTCAACATTGATTATAATGAGCACCATTATTAATATTTAAACACTAATATTAATTGATAATAATTGAGCACTAAATCATAAATGACATTTTTAAAATAGTGAACAGTTCCTTTTAAATTGTAATAATATTTTACTGTTTTTTTTATCAAATAAATGTAGCTCTGTGTGTGCATTAGATGTTTCTTTACAAAAACATTACAATTCTTAATTATCCCAAACTTCTAATGGGTAGTGTATATGCTAGCTAAAAAAACACACATACAGCCCAAATAGAACGAAAAAAAAGGGGGTTTTCTAGAATATTTGGAATGACATAAGGGTGAGTAAATAATGACTTTAGGGGGGAACGTCCTTTCATTTATTGACCCACCGTCACTGCGCCATTCCACAGTACTATGATGTCACCAAATCGGTATGTTCTTACTGATATTTGACCTGATTAATAAGTGCTGGGTTGCCATGGTGATATTGCATTGACTGTCTGTTCTATGATTCTCACCAACCTGTTATGGATATAATGTGCTTGTTTGCCCTCAGTACATTTCTCTATTTATTCTGTGGATCCAGCTGCTAGCCACAAAAATACTCTCATATGTGCACACACATATTCAGACAGAAATGTTTGTCTTATTATTAGTAATTAATCATGGACCTAATGGATGTTTTATTTACACTCTCTATGTTGTAATGCATTCATTTTATCTAATTGGAAGCCATATTGACTTTCAAGCATAACATAAAATGATCCCTACTTTTAATTACCCAAAACAGACTGTAACAGCGTCCTGTGAATGATGGTTAAGGTGAGTCACTCAAGTTTAATCACTCTTAGTATGAAGGTAGGACAGCACATCCAAATTAAATTGGTCACTTTCTGTCTGCTGAGATGCCTTTATTGACCTTAATAAAAATCTTCTTTATACACAAATGCTGTCTGTGTAGTCATGTCTCAGTTTTGGGCAATTTATACTGTGAATACATAGTCGAAATGAATGGTGCAATTTTGTCATGTGTACTAGAACAAATTGTATTGAATATATGGTTTGTATACATTCATTTTAATTATTAATTACATTACTATATATGAACTAATTGCTTTTATGTACATAGCTGACCTTTAAAATGTCATATCCTTATTTTTTTCTATACATTTGTGCATTGTGTAGTTGGCATTACAAATGTTTGGTTATCAAAGCAATAAAGTTTATAGGTGGGGGGAGGGTGATTGTCATATACAGATGGCATCAGGTGGAACATTTTTGGCTGACAAATATGCCCTTCTTCTGTCTGTTTTATAAGGATACCGCTTCATTATATATCCAATAAAGAAACGAGAAGCTAATCATCTTAAGTAAATAACAGTATGAGTAAAACTATAAAAATTGGAGGTTCCACAGTATTTTTGATGTAGCCTGTATTCTACTACTTCTCAATATATTTTACTACGCCTAAAACACTTAATGTGTGTGTGTGTGTGCGTGCGTGCATGTGTGTGGTGCACAACAACATAAATGCGTCGTCGGTAAGAAAATATTTACCGAGCAACGTAATGAGCTTTCATGCTGCAAGGTGACGTATTCAATTATTAACTCCGCTTGTCCTTCTGCCCTGAGTCTGTCGCAGGTACAGATATATGCTCTCAAAGCACTCAAACGAGAGGTAACGGAAGGACTAAATCCAGGAGAAACACAGATTTGAACGGCCCCAGACAAACGGGTGAAAGTAAACCTCTCGTCGACGGAAGTTAGTTCAAATAATTCTTATTTTTTTCCTCTCAGAGTGAGATAATATCAAAGTCCACTTCTGCTTGGTCCCTCATGACAGAGACTGAACAGTTTTTTTCAGTCAATCCGTTGGCGAAAATACATAACGGAAAAACAAGATCTCTTGACGACCAAGAGATGTGAGTTGGTCTATATTATCGTTATTTTTCTTTTCTGTATGTTGTACTGTATGTTTTATTATTTATTTTGGTATTTTTTTCATTTATTTAGATACATTTAATTAAACTATCAAATGGGCTTACTTTTTTTAGGAGGCTAATGTTATTATAATCTGAAAATTAAAATGTTAAATTCTATTATTCTATTTTTCATGTTTTCTGTAAAAAGTTAAAACGTTTACAAAATTTTTGGACTTTGTGTTTTACGTACAATACTAATTTGAATTACAGGACAAAACAAGATATATGGCAACGTTTGTTGTGTTAATGGCTGAAATGAAGATTACATTGGGCAAAAATAATGGTCAGTGTATTCCATGATAGCCTATATGCTGCTGTTGATTTATTTATAACAGTTTTCTAAAATCTATATTAGAAGACTTTTGTTTCTAATAGTGATGGTGACATTGTTTTGGATTGTTTTGATACCTTGTGTTTGTGTGCAGGTAGTTTTACGTCCGTCCTCCAAACCCTGATGCTGTAAAGGGGTCAAAATTAATAATAATATTCCACTCCACCGGTCCTGGGGTGGGTGGACCGCTAGTATGGACCCCTGGCAAAATCTGGTGTCCAGATGGTAAAAACAAATTTATTTGTGACTGAAAGCTTTAATGAGCACAAAGCCTGGTTAAAATTTGTGAATGTGAATACTTGTTTGTTAATGTGCTGTGCATAGTAGCCATAAAATATCTCTCTATCATCAATGCTTGTGAGATTATACCATACTGCTTCAGTATCTTTAATGTGATATTCTTAGATTTAGGGGTAAAAATGTCTATTAAGGCTTAATCAATTTACTGTCTGTCCATGTGTGTTTCAGTTCGGCATGGTGGCAGATGCATACGCCACATGCTCTGAGAGCTTGTGTGTATGAAGTGTGTAAACCTCTGGTGCCACTTCTGCTGTGCATCGCGGCCCTGGTGGCTGTGATTGTGTATGCTCTGGCAGATAATCTACACAGTTTTGTAAGCAGGATCTTCATTCCCCAGTATCACTATCCTTATGCGGTGCCACTTGCATTCATACAGGTACTTTGCCCACACAGGTTCATCTTTATCAGTTATTTATTAGTTATGATCTTGAACATGCAGATTTTAAAGTTGCCTTACATAACTAATGATCAGAGGATTTTTCTAGCTTTCTAATCCCCTTCGGGGTCAGTGCAGAAAGCTCTGGCCAGTTTAAAATAAAAAAAATATTAATCTTTTAAAATTAAAAATAATTTATAAAATTATTATTAATTAAAGTTAAAAAGGGTTATTATAGTTAACTAAAACCAATAAAACGGGAATAAATATTTTTTTTTAAATTTCAGCTAGTTGCCTAAAAAAGATATCATTTTAATTTAAAACTTGATATACTAAAATAACTATAACTGAAACTGAAAAAAATGATATAGATAGACATATTAAAAAATACTAAACATGACAAAAATACAACAAAATTTCAGAAACTTTGACAGAATTAAAATGAAAATATTATGATTCAGAATATTAATAAATATGATGATGCCCAAATGATGCTATAAATAAAATCTCAATAAAATAAAGTTTCAAAGCATCTGATTGAATTAAATTGAAAAGATGAGTTTTTTAGGCAAAGTTTAAAAAGCTCTCAGTTATTCAAAGAAATTTTGCAGTATGTCTAAGCTGCTGTTTCATACAATGAAAGTTAAAGGGAAACTCTAATATGTTCAGAAAAGTGGCATGAAAGTACTACTTACAACTTGTTTGCTACATTCCAAGTTTTCTAAAGTCACACAGTAGTTTTCTTTCAGCCAAGCTGTTATTCAGTGGAAAACTTTCCATTCAAACATGAGATGTCAAGGTGTTTTATGCCAGGATTATGTCAAGTGGACCATTATTTAAAGTCCTACAGTAATTTGCATATAAACCATATCATCATCAGCGTTACATATCTCTCAGTGTGTACATAGATTATTTGTAGGGTGTAAAGCACAAGACTGGGCAGATCTCTGATGAATCATTAGGTGTGTTACATGTGATCATTTGACTAGTGCTATAAACTGGTGGAGTCCTTTTACTGTTTGTGTTTGAATGTTATGGCTGGGCTATATGTTTAAAATGCAGACGGGATGTCAGCAGCTGACAAATGGAAGATTTTAGATTAAAATGTATATCTACAGCGGGGTCAAAGTCTGAGAATACTAGTAAAACTATCAGTTTAATAAAAGTACAGAACATCTTAGCATTTAGGTCGTCTCTCTTTTGCTTTAATTACAGTAGCATGTGAGCTGCATGAGCTCCACAACCATAATTTGACATGATCCAAAGAGCATCTTGAGCTTGTGACCATCTCTACAAAGAGTCACATGATCAGTGTCACAAATTGTTTGATTATTGACCTAGAAACAGCACAGAATCTTACTCATTTTGCATTATAAAGATTCATAATTTCAAAATCTTAATACTTTATTTCCAAATTGAAATGAGATTTTCAATCCCAGATTTTCAATCCAATCTCAGATGTTTGGATCCTGCTCTACTGTATATATAAGAGAAAATGTAGATTTATTATGCTGTAATTGTTTAACAGTTTTTAAAAATTCTAACTTTTTTGCAGTTCACTTGCACAGTTCAGTAGGATTGCAGTGTGACAAATATTCAGTGTATTAAATGTGGTCTTAAAACTGCATGTATAATAATTCTAAAAATGGTAAAATGTTGTTTAAAGTAGTGTGATACAGCTGTTACTGCTTAAATGTCATGTTATCATTTGTTATGTTTATCTATGCTCTGAAAGTGGTTTTCTTAGGTACACAATGAAAAGTCAGCGGTATATGACTCTGGGCACTGGGCACTCTGATTTATGGCACTGGGTATCACGTTTTAATCTCCAGTGTGTTTTAGGCTTGTTAAACTTCCTCTTGCTTTTGCTTCCTTCCCTTCAGGTGTTTCTAAATCTCTTGGCACTGCTAGCTTTGCACGGCGTGGGTCTGATCCACCTGAAGCCTTTTTCACTGAGGCTGGGCGAGCGTTTGTTTGTGCCGGCGGTCTGTGGGAGCATCCAGTGCATTCTGGCCATATGGGCTGAAGCCTGTTCCCACTCTGGCCTGTACCCGCTAGTCGCCCGCTTCCTCCCAATGGTCAGTCTGAGCTTGGGTCACCTGTTTGCACTGAGTATGCCAGGCTCCATCCATGTCTCCTCCCTTTTGACTGTGCTCACTGTCGCCTCGGTTACCGTCACAGGTACACTGTTCACTTTTAATTAGATGTGTTACTTACCATTCTTTGCAACAGTCGGGTTCCAGAAGTAAAAATGTTATTCATTTTCTCCATAGGGAATTTTTTTTAATCATAGCATATAAACCTTTAAAGGCTGAGCTGTTGTGAGCTCCTAAGTTGTTATCTAGCTTACGTTCTAAGAAATTTGGCTGATGTTTTTGCAAGGTTCTCTCAAAGTAATGAACATTATTTCAGTATCATTAATAGAAGGTTTGTTAAAAGTTGTCTGGTCTTTAAGAATATTCTCAATATGTCAGCACAAAAACATTATACAACATTCATGAATCATAGTTTCTGAAATTATTTAGTTAAATGTTAATCTAACATTTTTTAAATGATACTACTCAATTCAGTACGTTCAGAGAACACTCAAAAGTAACGTTCCAATAATGTTTGCAAAATTAATATTTCCTTAACATTCATAAAACATTTATAAAGCTCGACATTCTGAAGATTCAAAGAACATAATTGTAGTTTAACAGCTGAATTCATGATGAACTACATTACCTATGATGCAGTGCAGAAAATTTCATCCAATGAGCTTGCTATGAATGCCCTTTTTTATGAAGCACCACAAATGACATAATCGTTTCGATCTCCCTACAGCCGAAACAACAGTACAAACACTGTAAATAAATGGTTTTATATTTCACCATTCTTTTAAAGGGGTCATATGATGTTGCAAAAAATAAAATTTGGTGTATTTGGTGTAATGAAATGTGTTTATGCGGTTTAAGGTTAAAAAAACACATTATTTTCCACATACTGTACATTATTGTTTCTCCTCTATGCCCCGCCTTCTGAAACGCGTCGATTTTTACAAAGCTCATCGGTCTGAAAAGCAAGGTGCGCTCTGATTGGCCAGCTATCCAGTGCGTTGTGATTGGCCGAATACCTCAAGCGTGTGAAGGAAATGTTACGCCCCTTACCATATTGTGATGCCTTGTCCCGGCCGGAGCGACGAGACAAAAACATTAAAACCCATTATAAAGTATTTGTTGCATCCAGTGGGGACATAATTACGGATTATAATGATATACTGTCTTTTTACGCGTTGCATCGTGCCGCTTAAAAATAAAACCATGTCTGCATTTGTGATCGGAGAAATGACAAACTACAAACGCTACTCTACACTGCTCAAAACTCGCGTTTGAATCGTCAGTGGCAAATTCTTTAAATATAAAAAACGTGCTTACAGTCTGTGAGTCAGAACAGCCGGCATTGTAGTCTACTCTACCAGGATCAGAAAACAGTCCTCCATAAGAAAATTTTAAATCGCATCATATGACCCCTTTAATTAAATTATATCACCTGCAATGGTTCCTGGGATTGTAGTTCTTTCCCTCACTAAAGCTGTCAAAGTCACTAAAGTACAGTCTTGTACCTTTGTCATTCTGTATGAATACTTGAATACTATTTTGCTTCAAATATATTGTGATTCACCTTGTAGCTGGTTGGTTTGGTTTATAGCTTATAATGCTTTACCGAAGACTTTTTAAAAATCCCTATGGGGAAAATCAATGGAAAAAAAATACAACGGAAACAACAGTGCTAAAAATGCCCTCTGTTGTGAAATTTACTAGCAATTTCTGAGTGAAAATTGTTTTTACATCAGGTTTTTTTTTTCAGTGCATGATGGCTTAAAATATCTGTGAAAAGGAATATGCCATTTTTTAAAGTTATTAATCGCATTTGATTTCTCTTTTCAGGATGTAAAGGACTTCATGCGATAGAGCCGCTGGAGTATATCTACTCTCCCCTTAACCTTGTCCTTCACAGCCTCTCTCTTGCCTGGCTAGCCAAAGTCTCCCAAACAGAGCGAGGCCATGCCTCAACCTTTGACCTTTACTACACTCTGACAGTGACACGTACCCTCTTGTTAGGGTTCCTGTGTGTTTTGCACCCTGATGGACCAAAGGCACTGATGCATGGCAACTGGCACAGTCTGCTGTTTCTGGGATACATGCTTGGAATGTTACTGCTGGGTGCTGTGCAGCTTCTCTTTGTGGATGTAACAGCACTGTATTTTTCTGCTCTCCCAGCAGCCATGCTGCATGCGACCAGAGGGCTGGTTCTGCCCCTGTTCAGTCTGCTATAGGACATACGGACCAATCAGAGTGTAGATCATTCTGAAGAGGAACCGTTTATGTAGAGCAGGGGTGGGCAAACTTGGCCCTTCCAGGCCACTTTCCTTCAGAGGTTAGCTCCAACCCTAATCAAACACACCTGAACCAGCTAATCATTGTCTTCAAGACTACTAGAAGGCTACAGGCAGGTGAGTTTTATCAGGGTTGGATCAAATCTCTGCAGGAAAGTGGCCTGGAAGGGCCAAGTTTGCCCATCACTGATGTAGAGTAACCAATCAAATACCTGATCAATCAAATACATGATTGATGATAACAGTATTAAAACCAAATTTATAGGCATGACAACCTCATGTTAAGATAATTATAATTAATTAATATGGTAATGCTACCAGTTAGCACTGATGTGCGACTCCTTTCTTCGCTTGCACTGAAACTACGACACAACTATGACACACATCCTACAAATGGGGTGTTTTCATGAAGGAGCTGATACTTAAGTTCTGGAATTAAATTATTAAAGGTAAAAAACAGGTCTCTCAGACCAGCTTTTTTGTACAGGCTATATTATTATTTTTATGTCTCAGCTGGAAGTTCTGAGAAAGAAAAAAATATATTTTTTTTTGCAAAAAAGAAAATTAAGCCTTTTTTAGGACCTTTAGGGTTTGCATTGCAATGTAATTTTCATGATAGTTTCATAAATAAACCACAGTTTCATAGTGCAAAATCCTCATTCTAATTACTGCAATGCAAAAATGAAGTCATGGTTGTAGCCTATTGGTTGTACTGAGTTTAACTTATGCCTTTATTTTACGCTTTTATTTTTAAAAAGTCATGAAAATGACAAACATCCAGATGAATTACAGTAAAAAGAATGGACAATGCGCTTAATTGCCATGAAAATAACGACAAAATACAAAAGTAATGAACCTTAAAGGCCGTAAAAAGACCTTCATTTTTAATGCAAAATATATATATTTAAATTTTTTTATATTTTGAGGGTGAAATATGATCTAAGCATGTTCTTGACAAGCTTTGTGAGAGTCACCTAAGTATGCCATTCCTCTTACAATAACCTTACAAACTTAGACCAGAGGAGCCCTTCACTGCATGGTTTCTAGAAATATAAACTATAAGCTATAAAGGGATATAAACTGCAATACAATGACTTAAGACTATTACAGTAGTAATATATTATTTAAATAGAATACCTGTGACTCATGTATTTATTTAGCTCCTAATATACAGTACAAACTACAGTATTATTGTTAATGTTTGGAGCAAATAAAACATATTGATGAGGTCCTACCTAAACTAGTGTTTCTGTTTTCTTCTCATATTTTGGTATAAATAGAATTAGAACATTTCCAGCACCTTTTCTTTATGATGTAAGCGGTACATAACGCACAGATACAGATCACACCTACTACGCATTTATATTGTTACCAGCGTAGGCCAGTCTGCCCAAGCAAGAATCATGAGGGTAAAAAAGTTCTGAGGCTTTGCTTCTAATCAGGCATGATTGATTTATCTGTAAAGACTTGGTTAATGTTACACGAGCATGCAATTTGTTTAGTTTATCAGTAATGTCAGCGTAGATAAGCACTGTGAAATATCGCCATTCCTTTTCTATGATAGATGCATACTTATCGGTTTGATTAATCTCAAATTACGTAATCGTAATTTATGAAACATCTCAGAAAATATTATCTTTATTCAAAAAGATAAAATAATATTTAATGGAGAACAACATGATAAACAACATCTTATCAGAGAATAAATTCCCAGTTAGTTTTTAGGGAAGTGCTCTGTGTTGAAAGAAACGCCAATTTTAGGATGTAATAATTCACAGTTCAGTACTGGGTGTGGAGCAGAACACCATAAATGTAGCCACCTGATAGAGGAACAGTTGATGTGCACTAGGTGAAGGAACACTGAGTGCGTGATAAGTCTCTGTGAGTTGATTTTTCCCACTTTAGTTTGACGTATCAGGACTGATCTGCGTCAGGTGGGATGTGGATGCCTAGACTCTGCAGTAGGTTAGAAGCAGGCCCAGCAAGGCCGGCCTGAGAAGCGAGAGACTCCAGTAAATTTGAAACCAGGTTGAGATCCACATCAAGCGGTTGGATTTCTTCCTCAACAAGCTCTGACCTTGAGGTGGATGATGAGCTTTTAGATTCATCTGCTTTATCACTGGCCTAAAAGGAAATGGAAAAATAAATAAATCAATAAAAAAAAAAAAAATTCACAAGGTTATGTGCACAGGATAAACAACATCTGTGGAGACTCACTCTGTTATTCTGTGTAAAGCTTTTGCCAATATTTGTGCTTTGCAGTTCCTGGTCCATTTCATCCATGTATTTCCTCAGATTGTCCAGCGCCTCGGCACCTGCCTGCTCCTGAGACTCGCCATTCTGCACTTCTTCATCATCGTTGACATCATTGCCTTCATCATCATCATCCTCAAAGTCGTCAGAGTCTAACTCATCATCCTTACTTCCTGTAAAACAGGAAGTGCAAATTATTAGTGCTTTTCAGGTAGTGCAGATTAGCAGTTAACCAATATATTTTGCATTTGTTAGTTACTACCATAAGCAAAAAAGGTTTTTCTATTTGGCCAATGTATCAGAAATGACAGAATTGACAACGTAAAATTACTTTATTTGTGAAAAATATTATAATGGGATTACAGACAGAATAAAGAAGTTGCCATATGAATAAATGTTTATTTTACGGATTTATTTTTCTTTTTTGGTCAAATTATTGTCTTTAAATGTATTCATTCTTTTATTATTTCTAATTTAGTAAATATTATGAGAAATAAATATGAATTTCATTTCAGCAACAGGCATGTGTTTTTTCCATTATCTCTAAAATTAAACAATGTGATATCATATACATTGACTTTATATCAGCCATCATGCTCTGTAAAATATCATCAGCAATAAAAAAAAAAAATCAATACTGGTCGGCCACCAGTGCAGACAATTAAATTGGGCATAAAAATAGGCATAAATCTGATTTCTAAATAAAATTACAAGGAGTTCAGTAAAAAAAAAAATAAAAAATCAGCTTTAACAAAAAAAGAATATACACTTTTTTTTCCAAAAGTGGGATTGATTTAAATGGTCTAATTTCTCTGAAAATCAAACTCACCTAGCAGTCTATCAAGTGCACTGGTTACTGCATCTGGATCATAACTAAAGGGCTCAGCCAGACAAGATCTGAAACACAATTCAGGACAAAGAAAGACATAAATTATCATGGTGAATAATAACTGAAGTATTGACAGTTCAGATGGAATATCATTACCTGGGTATTTCAGCTCCTTCATGAGAGGACATGGCATTGATGAAGTTCTTCATGCCTTTCGTTACAGCTATGAGACTGTAGCCAGCCTCTTCCTCCTGCAGCTCCTCATCAGGTTGTGGCGTCTTGCGAGTGCCATCGCTCACCCCTCGACCTCCTCTCTCCTCAAGCAGCCTCTCCAGCTCCTGAGGTGAGATGTCTAACCACGCATCGCCTACAGGGGGCGATTGAGAGGACAACACTATTGATTCCGAGAAGACAGAAACCATTTTTGTGTTCGATTCACAGTCTAGATTCACTTTCAACAAAAGCAGTGAATCAATTATACTAGATTACACTCAATATTTGATGCCAATATGTGCAGCACACAGAGAAAACAGTATCAGACAGAATACATACTGTCCTCTGGTGGTAGATGTGCCTCTTGATTTTTTAGCTCTTCCAAACTGTAGGAGGCATCCTCCAAGACATTCATCACCTCTTGACCAGGATTCTGAATGTCAGGGCTTGAGAAAGAGTAACATGAGACTTACACACTACTGTTGAAAAGTCATTTATGCTCAACAAGGTTGCATTTCTTTTATATAAAAAAAAAAAACAGTAGATGCAGCAATATTTTGAAATATAATTAAAACTCAACAAATGTTGTCACATGGTCCTTCAGAAATCATTCTAATATGCTGATTTGGTACTAAAGAAACATTTCTAATTATTATCAATGTTAAAAACAGTTGTGCTCTTTAATATTTTATGGAAACTTAGATAAATTTTTTTCAGGATTTTTTAATGAATAGAAAATTCGAAAGAACAGCATTTATTTGAAACAGAAATCCTTTGTAACATAAAACACCTTTGCTGTCACTTTTGATCAATTTACTACATCCCTGTTGAATAAAAAATTATTAATTTATTAGTGACCCCAAACCATAGAACTACACGTACATACCAGTACATTTACACACAGATAAAGTCAAATAAACTTGATTTTGAACTGTGACGATGAACAACAAATAATAAAAAAAAAGTCACTCTCACCGGTGAGTGCTGGTTACAGACTGTCTGAAGAAACTCTCTGCTGATGTCATTAGATCTTTGTATCGAACGGATCCTTCTAGTTCACCCTGGGTTTACAAAAATACACAAACACATAAGCAAAAACACATCCACACACATACAAAATGAAAGAGACGTTTATGTTTTATTAAATCGTTTCTCTCAAGCAAAGGAATCTTTGCATCATCTGCTTCATTTGAGTATTTTGAACAGAAACTCTTTCCTACCTTAAAATATCCATTATTTTTGAGACTATCTAAAAAGCCTCTCCATAGTGGGTTACTGCTGACTGAAGCCTCTTTCTCTGATGAGGATGGTCCACTCTTGGAGCACAGGATTTCAAAGCCATGGGCCTTAGACATGAACAGAAAAAAGAACACTGCGCTATAGCAGAGGTGTAAAGTATTGGAGTAAATGTAATTAGTTACTGTACTTGAGTATCTTTTTCGATACTTTGTAGTTGTACTGAGTATCAAAGATATTAGCAACTTTTACTCTCTACTTCACTACATTATTGAATGAGTATCTGTACTCTTTACTCCACTACATCTTTTACTCAAGTATGGTTTTTAGGTACTCTTTACACCTCTGCGCTATAGTTACAAAATGATTTGTGTGAAAAATCACATTTCTGAACATATTTTAAAAATCCACTTGTAAAATACTTGGGAGAAACAGATGTTCATCTCTGTAAGATTAAAACCTGCGTGTTAATTGTCAGCTTTCTCCATACATGACTGGAGAACAAGATAACACATAACAAACTCACCAGTTTCATTCCCAGCTCATGAGCTCTGTACTGGGGATGAGAGCGGAAGGGAAGCTTGAAGCCACTCCGCCGATCTGGAACAAAACTCTGTTGTTGCAGCTGTGCATACAAGCAGCGTGTAAACTTTATCTACAGGAAAGGGGGAAGGGAACAGTTTCATAGCTACATCAGGTTGAATGTACACTATAATTCAAAAGTTCGGGTGTGGTAAGATTTTGTTTTAATGTTTTTTGTAAAACAAATCTCTTACGCTCACCACAGCTGCATTTATTTGAGAAATAAAAAGAGTAATATTGTGAAATATTGAAAACTGTTTTCTATTTTAATATAGCAGTAATATCTAAATTGGTGTTCAGGGAGCATTTTTGCAGTTTTGCTGCTTAGTATTTTTGTGGAAATCAAGACGGGTTTTTTTTCAGGATTCATTAATGTCTCTTAAAAACAGCATTTATTTGGAACTAAACATACTGCTTCTTACTGATGTCATAACTCTAGTGTCAGGAGGAAACGTGCGGAAAGTTCGACAGGCCTGGAGGTCAACAGGGTCACGCAGATAGAAAGCAGACACGGCAGGGGCTATTAGGTCAGGCCTCCTAGACAACACCACAGCAATGCCCGCAGGCACATAACAGTGAACACGGTGGAAATTCTGCTGGATTTTATCTGGATACCTGCACACATATACAAATGATTATGGAGTACAACCTAAAAAAAACATACAGAAACGATATAAATACTTATTTGAAACAATATCATCACTCTCACCCATCCAGCCTCCTGGCTAGAGCTGAGCGTATGGGCTGTTTGGCTAAACAGCTCTCAGTGTGTGAATGCAGCACCTCTAGAGCCTGACCCACAGCAGGCACTGAGTTTCTGGCCCAGCCAACCTCTCCAGAATGTGTGCGGTTGGGTAATATATGCAGCTCTCCCCGGAACAGAAACACCTCAGAAAGACAACAACAGAGAGAAAAAGTGAACAGCCAATGGGAACAGCGTATATATACACGTCAGGATGATAACAAGAACAACTTTACTTTTAAAAACCTTACTTACTTTTGTTGTTTTTTTTCCTGAAAATGATAACATCCAAAAACTGTGGTGTGATATCAGTGCTGGTATTAAATCCAATGCTTACACATCACAGCGAAAGATATATGACAATTCAGACAGATGCTATTTCAAAAAGATTACCATACTTGTACCTGAAGGAGTACCATGGTATTGCTATATTCAATAAAACATTATAATATCATTTTTTTACCAATTTAAATGTCCAATACTAACCCTGTTTTCACTGCTGTCTGGGTCCAGCCACTTTGGCAGGTGTTCAGCTGCTTCAATCAGAAGAAACTGTCCATCATTATCATAGACAACAGCAGCTACATCACTAAAAGTTTGTGTGATGTGTTTGAGCAGGTAAACGATGAACCATTCGTCCTCCACATTATCACCGAACTGAGTAACACCGCCCAGGTGCGCAGGCACATCTATGGAGTGTAAAAGAAGATAGTTTTTGGTAACTTAGTCACATGTACACTCTCTAGAACTGCAAAACTGATATACATATGCATACCTTTCTCAGGGTGGTATCTTAGATTGAAGGCTTGATGTTGCCAGATGTACTGCACCAGAAGAGGGGCGATCTCAGCGAGGATGTTTTGCAGGATCTGCTGGAGGAATCTCTCATGAGCTTCTGCGTCTGATGGGTCAGGATGAACCAGAAAAAGCTGATACTGGACTGCGTCTTCAGGGATAGAGGGTCTTTTTAAAAAATCCATATTCATGTCTCATTATACCCTGAAAGCTGGAAGGGAGCAGCATAGGTCAGTGTCACTAGATTCCTGAAACGTGCCTATCGAACGCTATACACCACAGAAATTACGCAGCATGTGAAATATTTGTTTATACAGATAAGAGTCTGGATATTACCTGTGATATTTTAATAGTTATGGGATAGCTTGATCAATAAACGCGTAATAATGGCGATCATGTGGACAGCTTGACATGTTTCGGAGCTTGAGCTCGCGGGATTTTTCCGTACACGCCCCGGAAGTGTCGTAGTTTAGCATACAGGTCCTCAGTTCAAAATAAGGGTCACTTTGAGCTATTTGATCGTTTGAGTTTCTCACAAAATATGAGTGAATATATATATATATATATATATATATATAATAACTGAAATTTTGAAAATAAAATACCGCTGAAGAGCTATTCAAATATAATAATAAATTAATACTTTTATTAATCAAGGATGTATTAAATTGATCAAAAATGGCAATAAAGACAAAAAAAAAATCCTGTTTCAAATAAATGCTGTTCTTATGAACTATTTATCAAAGAATTCTGAAAAAAATTTATCATGGTTTCCACAAAAATATTAAACAGCACAACTGTTTTGATAATAATAAGAAATGTTTTTTGAGCAGCAAATCAGCCTATTAGAATGATTTCTGAAGATCATGTGACACTGAAGACTGGAGTAATGATGCTGAAAA